GGTATTACGAGGCGCCTTTACAAATTGGTTGATTTGTAGGGGCTACTATTTGATTTGTAGGGGAGGCTATTACCAGCCGCCCTAGCTATGGCCATTTGTAGGGGCGGCTGAATCACCAGCCGCCCCTATAAATACCCGTTGTATAAAAGTGTGATTTCTCTTTTTAATCTGTGGCTAAAACTTGTAACTTGTCTTTCTCTCTCGTACTAACTTCAAATATGATGACTTTTTTCCTACAATTTTCTAAAATTATGCACTATCAATTTGTTGAGTTCTTACTGCTATTAGTTTATTCATATTTTCCTACAACTTTGTTTGGACAATTTAAATTTTAAATTTAAACAAACTACAACTTCAAACCAGTTTTTGAAACACTAAATGATCTCAGCTGAAAAACTATTGAATACAAAAGTTATAGAACTCATCAAGATCTACAACTTTTATTTTGGTCATTTCTTTATTTGAGAAAATATTAGCAAACATAGGTCACAAATTCATGAATCTCACACATAGTTTATGAAACTAGAGGAGAGATATGTCAATTTATAAACAATGTTTGCTAACACTTTATAAAAAAAAAAGAAATGACCAAAATGAAAGTTGTAGATTTTGATAAGTTCAACAACTTTGTTATTCATAACTTTTTAAGCTGAAACCATTTAGGATTTCAAAATCTGGTTTGAAGTTGTCATTTTTTGAAATTCAAAATTTGAATCATCAAACTTTGTCAAATAAAAAGTTGACTAAAATAAAACTTGTACATCTTAATGACTTGTACAACTTTTATATTCATGACATTTTTAGTTCAAATCATATACTCTTTCAGAATGTTGTTACAAGTTGAATTTTTTTGAAATTCAAATTTTGAGTCGTTCCAACAAAGTCAAATGACAAGATGACCAAAATAAAATTTGTACATCTTGATGAGTTATACAACTTTGATATTTAAAGAATTTTAATTTGAGGTCATTTAGTCTCCTAAAATTCTATTTGAAGTTTCAAAATTTAAAATTTCAATTTTTAGAAATATATTTTTATTTATTTGTAAACAAGAAAGTATGGAATTATTTATATAAATATATCAGCAAATTGTTTGTATATATATGGAATAATTAAAAATGATTATATATCAGCAAACTATTTATTTGTAAACAAGAAAGTATGGATTTTGAATTTTGAAAATGAAAAATATTTGTAGGGGCGGCTTGTTCTGGAACCGCCGCTACAAATCGAATTGTAGGGGTGGCTTATAATCTCAGCCGCCCCTACAAATCGCTGCCCATATATATACTGGAGCGCGCAGGATGGCTCAAATTGGCTGTCTTGGGCGCATTTCACTCTCTCAGACGTCGGCAGGCTGCCAAAATCCGCCGTCGCCGCCGCCTCCTCCCTGACCTCTCCGGCGCGGACGTAGTCCACTAAGTCACCCCGACACTGCTAGGGTTTGAGCCGCTGGGCCCCCCACCCCATCTCCTCGGTGCTCCCCACCGCCAGGCTCCCCGCCTCATCTCCTCGGTGCTCCCCGGCATCCGCGCTCTCCGACGAGCGCCCCGGTGCCCGAAATCTCCGGCATCCGTGCTCTTCCCCTACCGTCCTTGCTCCCTCCCCCGGCTAGTGGCCCGGGCCGGTACGGTGCACATTAGGGTTTGGCATGAGCGCTTGACTGGCGGGCGGCCAAGCTGCTCGTGCTGCCCGGCGTCCGTGGTCCTCCACCGGCATCGGCGCTCCTCCACCGGCGCCCCTCCACCGGTGCTCCTCTGTCTTCCCTGGCTCCCCCTCGTGCACATCCTTGTCCATGGCCAGCTCCATCTTCCCCGGCTTCGTCTTTCCCGGCACTGCCATCTGCCACCGAGGTGCTTGTGATTCTCTATATGATGCCTGTGATGCCCTATGCTGCCTGTGATGTTGTATGCTGCCTATGATGCACTCTACCTTTGTGAGCATATGCCACTGCCTGGGATGCGACTTAGAAAACTAAGTATTTGCCACTTTTTCGTTATTTTTGTGAGAATTCAGTTTGATCCCTTAACTGAATTTGGCATTTGCATTCATGTTATCTCCTGTGTCCTGGCCAGTTGGAATAATCTTATCATGTACTGGTTATCAGTGTTGAAACTGGAAGGGTCAGGTGAAGCTATCCATTGAAATTGGGCTGAACTTATTTCATGGATCCTGTTTATTACTTACTCAGTTGAACTTGTTTGCTATTATGTTTTTGGGTGCTTTGTTGGTTTATTTGGGATCTATGGTATTGTGTCATGTATGGCTGGTGCATATATTGGTGTCGCCACAAGTAATAAACAGGATGTTTTCAGTTGATTCATGGTAGAAATCTTACTGTCATGATATTCACATCGTGGTGGCATTTATGTAAACTGTATATACCTTGTCTATGAGGTATAAATTTAGTTTATAAGGTGTTTGAAATTCACTTCTAGTGTGGTTTATGGTTATCCGTTTTGGTCTATTGACTTTTAGAGTCTATTTTGATCCGATTAGCCTTTTTCAGCTAGCCCTTACTACATTTGCAGATCTTATGTTATTGACCTAATTGCATCTCTTATGATTTTATATTTATTTCCAAATGTACTTAAGACTCATCAATTCACAAATTTAACATGACCCAAATCTAGAGTCTGGTGCTCTGATATCTGTATTTGGTGTCACCATAGGATATGTTGCCTTTTTTCTTCCCAAGAATGCATCTATTGTTTGATATGGGGTCCTCACAACTTAATATTGGTGAGAAATGCGAGATACTACAGCTGACATGTCTGTATTGAGATGATTTGTATTAGTTCTATTTCGGTTTGTTGCAAGGTTTCATGCACATGAGCATATTCCCACTTACTATAATGCACACGTTGGTTACTTGAATTCATGTACTAGTTACTCTCCTAAAACTGAACTACTCCTATACTACTACTACTCATGCACTGCTGCCATTTTTCCCCAAAAATCTGCTATGGTGCTAGCTGGCTATATGATGCCTATATGATGCATCTGTACTACTACTACTACTACTACTACTACCTTTCTATCTGTTGCTCTGTCACTTGATATTAGCTACTACTTTAACTGAATTTTGCCTCATGCTGCTAGTGCTCTACTATGTACTCTCTTCTATCTTCTATGGCTCCTGCTAGCTGCTGTTGTGCACTTCTCTCTTACTGTGCACTTTTTGCTCTTCTGTGGGCTTATGCAGCTTCTGAACTCGTTGTCACTCGCTGTATGGATTTGTGGTGCTCTACTATATACTCTCTTCTCTCTTATATGGCTCCTACTTTTCTATTTCACTAGATATGTGCTTACTGCCTACTGCTCCTATACACTACTCCTCTCTTCTGCTGGCTCTATACCAGTGGATCGATTTGAAATGGTCGAAGGACTTAGCCCTTCGGCGACGAACGCATTTACTTAAAGCTTTGTTCGATATATTTTATTCGATGCAAAAGAGTTTATCTAGTTCTATGATTAAATTCATGCAGCAACCACTGGATTTGTATAGGCGGCGATGTCGGGAGGATTATGGCATGGGTCTTTAATTCAATAGATAAGGTCCCGGTGATATACAAAGACTTCATAACAATTCTCAAGATGTATACATATCGACAATCCTTATTAGCTTATATGTTTGTATATATACCTGTAACATTCACTTTTGGATACTAACAAGTTGCATTTGCTAAAATCATTCAAACAGGGCATTCAGGTTCTATGTCACTAAACATCACAGAAGGCATGATCCAGAAAGAAAGAAAAGGCTGGCTATGAAAACACTATATGCGGTAAGTGTAACTTACTTTAGTACTCCATTACATGGCTGTCAAAAGCATTACTTAATATTTTCATATGCAAAACACACAGTGCCCTAAGCAGAAGCCTGGGAGTCTACATTGTGGATATTATGTATGTTCTATGATGAGTAATACCGGTGCCTACAAGAGACACCCCTTAAGGGTAAGTTTGAACCTCTTCACCCGTAGTATAAAAACTTCGCATATGTTATGAAATACTAAACCAAAATTTGTTCTCTTATAGTGGAAAGAAGAGAAAGAAATGAAAAGGGACTCATACAAGGATGACCAACTCTTAGAGCTCGTTGACGATCTTTGCAACTTCATATTGGACCAGATTATACACGTCAAAGGCATCTACCATGACCGAGCTTCCGACTTAGGTAGAAATCCTCAGTACCAACACCTCCGTGAGACTGAAAGGCTAACTCTAGGCCGTTGATAACAATGTGTATGGAATTTGACATTGGTCTTACCTTGTGGAACGGTTTGAACTTGTGGAACGAATTAGACTTGTGAATTATGTCTATATAATGATGGATTGTATATATTCTTGTGAATTTGACTTGTAATGTTAGTTTATATAATGTTCTTGTGCTTGTGGATGTATATATGTTCTGGTCAGATTTGAATTATACATGCATATATGTATATATGTTCTGGTCAGATTTGAATTATAAATTTGAATTTTTTTTGCGGGAAAACGTACTGTAGGGGCGGTTCTGCAGTTCTAGACAGAACCGCCCCTACAATAGATATTGGGAGAATTATATATTTGGCACTGAAACAAATCAGTCTTTCACATTTGACACTAAAAAATTTGAACTTTCTTATTTGGCACCAAGTTGAAATTTCCTTCCGATAGCACTTCCGTCCATTTCGACCACGCATCTGTTAGTTGACAGTGTTCAACTTGTCAGTTCGTTTTGAGGGAGACCAAAATACCCCTGACCCTCGGTTACTTGCACGCGCCATGTCACGCAGGCAGAGGCGGAGGAGGGATCGGCCGGCGGCGGCCAGGGCCGACCGCGCACTCCCCCACGGCCTCACGCGTGCCCTCACGCGGAGGACGCGGGGCGGCCGTGGCCGCCGGTTGCCCGCTGGAGGTCCGACGCGGTGCGGTGGCGTCGGGGCAGCCGCGCCCTCCGGCAGCGTCAAACAAAGAGTGCTAATTAACAAGCTTTGCAATGATTGAACTGCTAGCTAGTAAATGACAAGACGTGAGATGGTACCTCGCGGTTGTAGACCCTGAGCCGGGAACCAGAACTTGCCGCTCTCCATGGACAGGTACCACGACATGATGGAATCATCTAGCACGGGGGCGGACGACTTGCCACCGTCGGCTTTGGGCTGCATCCAGGACACCACCGGGCAAACGCAGGACAGCGCGGCAAGCCACCTCCAGCGCTTGCCGCCGCCGCCGCCCGAGACGGAGCTCGCTGCGCCGGACTCGCTGACGGACGCCAGGTGCGTCCTCCATTTGTCCCTGGCGGCGAGGCCCAGGACACGGCCCCACTTGCTGGTCATGTGGCGCTCCCAGAGATGGTCGCCGCGGCAGCGCTCGCGCATGGAACGGCAGACGGCGGCCATGCTCCACAGCTCCGCCGGCTGCAGCCTCTCGAGAATGCAATCGATGGCCAGCTCCGGCAGGTCGAGCACCGACGGCTCGCTGCAGCCGCCGCCGGCGGGGGGCAGCATCCTCCGCATTCTCCACCGTGGCCGCGGCCCGCTTCCTCTTGAGGGACGGCATGAGCGGCATGGTCTCTGTGGCAGCGGACGCCGCCGAGCAGGCGGAGGCCTGCCAGGAATCCGAGCAGGGAGAGCAGGAGCTGCCGGCACAGGGAGGCGAGGAACAGTCTCATGTCACGCGCGCATGGCCTGGACAGGAAGAGCAGGCAGGCGACGGCGAAGGCGGCCAGCAGGGCAAGCATCAGCACCGCGCTGCCGCTGCCGCTGCCGGAGCGCCCGCTGCTGCTCCGTCCGTATTATGGATAAAGAACGGCAAGCGCAGGGCACGAGCAGTGGAGTTGCTGTATGTTGCTACGACCAAGACCGCATCAAGACCAGAGGGAGTAATTCGTAGTTTCCGTGATTGAGCGACAAATATGAGTACGTGTACATTTTTGATGTTCAATTACGGAGAACTCTAGATGATTGGCTAGCTGTGACACCAAATGCTCAAATATGTATTATTCTAAGTATTTGTGGAGAAATATCTATTCGTTGTTATCTTCTTGTCTTGCGATGATCTGACAAGAATATAGGACTGACCAAACTGAGATGAGTGAGCTGCTAAACTGCATCAAATAATTTCTGACCAAGCTAACTAGACAGGGAAAATCCCTCCCATGCTAAGCCTATCCCAGCGAGACCTGCTCTTGCCTTAGAATTTGAAATTTATTATTTATTTATTTGCATACTTCGATTATCAAAATCCTATGTTTTAGTTAACAATATATTTGTGATATTTATAATTTTCTTATTTGACAACCTGTTCATCTATTTGGCATCATGTATTTTTGCTATAAAGAAGGGCATTCATGTCATTTTACCAGCCACTTAACGACCTTACTAGCCCAAATGGACGGCAGTGCTATCTAGGAAAGGAAATTTCAACTTGGTGTCAAATAAGAAAGTTCAAATTTTTTAGTGCCAAATGTGGAAGACTGATTTGTTTCAAGTGCCAAATACATAATTCTCCCATAGATATTATAGGGTAATCTGGTATCACAGCCGCAATTGATTTGTTTCAGTGCCAAATACATAATTCTCCCATATATATTATAGGGGCGGCTGGTATCACAGCCGCCCCCTACAAATCGATTTTGTAGAGACGGTTGGTGTTACCAGCCGCCCCTACAAATTGATTTTTAGAGACGGCTGATAACACCAGCCGTCTCTATAAAATAATTTGTAAGAGCGGTCTGAGAACCGCCCCTACAAATACATGATTTGTAGAGACGGTATGGTCCCCTACAAAACATCTCCAGTCAGCCCCTACAAAGCATTCCTGTAGTAGTGTACAAAACGATTTCTAAAGAAGTTGGCCAGCCACTCCTAGAAATCGTTGATTTCTAGAAATGGATGGGTAGGGGTGGCCCGAGAAAGGGTCTGCATACCTTAGTTTTCTCAAACTATTCATTTGACCAAGCATTGTTTTGTCTGTGATGATGCACCTCCGCTCTGCCTCCTAGACGGGGACGAACCCGTAGCAGCATCCATTTTAGTCTGTTAGTTGTTATCTTTGGATATCAATCAAAACGCGAGATATCAAGTAGCGGGTTCACCCATGTTGAATTGCAGGGATGACTATCTCTATTGTGGACATATTTGTTAGATTGATCTCCTAACCAATAAGCCCAACGGCCTATTGGACCTTGGTCACGCGCCCTGATCGGGGGCGCCCAACCCTACATGGTTGGTGGGCCCCCGTCGCACTGCGCTATATAAAGAGGTGGGGGGCCGGCGGCTCAAAGCACGAGGTTCGCCGTGAGCCGCAAACCCCACCGACAAACCCTAATCCGATCGTGAGGGGCGCAGCCAGTGACGGGAAGCGCCACCAGCCGCGCCGCCACTCTACACCGACGACCGCTACACCGACGTCTTCCCCAACCATCGCTGCCCATGAGCAGACTTCACCGACGAAGCTGATGGAGGCCTCTGGATCCACTCCCTCTGGGATCTCAGGTTCGACACCTTCTCCTTCCTCTAGATAGCATTCTAGGTCTACATCGTTGCCGTTGTCTACTGCTCTTGATGTCTACCCTCAAGACCGACTGCTAGATGATTCAAGGGTTTTAACAATGGTACCAGAGCCTACTAGCACGTAGATCTAGATAGGGGTAGAGAAAGAATGAGATCAAGATCTTGGATCGGATCTCAAAAACGCGCTAACCCTAGAAAATGAAACCCTAACCCTAGATCGGGTTTTGGGGAAGGAAAAGGATGAAGAGGGGAACCTACCCGGTCCTCCCGACACCGCCGTCGCGCGGAAAGTTATCACCGCCGCCATGGTTGGCGCGCGGATAGAGACCCAGCTCGGCCGTGGCTCAGGAAAAACAGTGTCGTCCCCAACCCTAAACCTAACCCAGGAAGGGGTAGTGAGAAAGAAGAAAAAAACCACTGCCACGATCCGCGCCCGCTCGGTGATTGACTGAGAAGGGAAAAGAACCGATTTCAAATCGGAAAAGCAAACCCTAACCCTAATCGGAAAATCGGGCCAAATCCGAACAAAATCCGAATCAAAGAAATCGAAAGGGGAAAGAAGGGGAAGATGATGGCCTACCTCGGCGTCTGCGCGGCACTGCAGTCATGCCGGCGCGCGGGGAAAAGAAAGGCCGGCCGAAGGGGACACGGCTCGCCGGGATCCGGCCACAGGGCGCCATGCGTTAAAGCGGCCGACGGCGGCGCGCGCTCACCCTCTGGGGAGCGCGCGCCGCCGCGCGGGGGCAACGACGCGCGGACCTCATTGCTTTCGCCATGGTTGCTCGCTCGGTGATTCACTGAGGAGAGAAGGGGGGAGCAGTGAGGCGAAGAAAGAGAGTGTGCGCGTGAAATGAACCTAGGGTTTTCCAGAGACGTGCGGCCGGGCGCGTTTTATCCGCCGGCGAGGAGAACCGTCGATCTGAGATCAACGGCCAGGAGGGCTCGGGCCTCTTTTGGCCCAGGCGGGCGAAGTTGCTTGGCCGAAATCCGCCCAGCCCAAAGTTGCGGCTCTGGCGGCGGAGAATATTGGCGCTGCAAGGGTCAATGCAAGCAACCGGGCCGGAGAGTCTGGCCATACAATGTGCAAGGCCATGGTAGTGGGTTGGTAGGGCGTTGATGCTGCCAGCAAGCGTGAACAGAACCATGGGCTGTTCTTTGGATCGGGCCGAAATGGCCAAATAAAATAGTACAGTCACAAGTTTTGATTTTCTTATTTTCCAGAAAACAGTTTGATCAATTTGAATTGAATTTTTATGATAATTTTCTGTACAAAATTTATCCAACGATATTTTTGTTCAAGAAATAGTAAAGTTGCTTCGGAAAATAGGAAAATAATTATTGAATGTTAATGTTTCAGCACGTATTTAAAGTAATTATGGACTTTTAATTAAATTCAACCAACGGGAGAATTTGATTTTAAGAGCCAAGAGATAAATATGAGTTAATTATGATATTGTTATTTTCTGACCAACGTTGTTAATAGCAATATTATAATGATTATGCATTATTTCTATTTCTGCCCAACGGTGATGTAGATTTAATGTATAAAATAATTGTATGTTTTAATCTTGACCAACGTTAAACTAAGGCATGCAATTATTGTTGTTATTTCTGTTCTCACACTATTTGAATTGTGTTTTTCAGGAGGATACAACTTAATGAGTTGTATCAAAGAGATCCCCACTCTAAAAGGTGATAACTATAATGAGTGGAAGAAATGAGATAGACCTAGCTTTCATCCTCGCCGAGGTGGATCTGGTTGTCACACACACGCGTGCCCCCTGAGAGAACCGTGGCACCGGTGAGGGAGACTGATGAGACCCGATGTTTGCATGGCGTAATAGAGAGCGGGATTTTGCTCCCATAAAGATGTCCTATGACCTTGAGCATAGAAATGGGTCACTTGCCAACAAGAAGTGTTTGACAAAGGTGATAAAGAACACGATTGAGCCTCGCTATTATGGGCTTAATTCCAGGTGTGACACGGTCACAGTACCTAGATAGAATAAAGAGTCGGGTTCACTTGGCTCTTCAAAGATATATGCAACCCAAATTGATCAAGCAATTTGGTTACGAAAGGTACTCTGGTGGCGGCGGTGGCATTAGAGAGCACATATCTGAGAATGAGCAATCGCATCTAAGCTCAAACCAATGGATTTGGCACTCAAGGATGAGTTTCTTATTCATTTGATTTTGCTTCTTTGCCCAAAGAATTTGACACCTTTGTTGTTAATTACAACATACAACTTTGAAAAATGGGATTTAGAAAAGCTCATAGCCATGTGTGTGCAGGAGGAGGAAAGAATAAAAGTTTCACAAGGTGGTTCTGTCAACTACCTAAAAGATAAGAAAAAGAACTATAATAACAGCTCTTCCTCCAAATCATCTGAAAAAGGTCCCATGCAACAGTCTCAGAACAAGCAATTCCCAGTGGATAAAGACCAGTGTCTCTACTGCAAGAAGACGGGACATTATAAAAAGAATTATCCTGATTTCTTAAAGATGATTATGAAAAATAAAGGTGAGAACATCATTACATTTGTAAATGAATCCTTGTATATAAAGTTTTCAAAATCTACTTGGTGGATTGATTCAGGTGCAACTATTCATGTTGCTAATTCATTACAGGGATTCCGTTCGATGAGAACTTTGCAAAGAAGCGAAAGTTTCATTAAAGTCGCAAATGGAGTACAAGCAGATGTTGAGGCCGTTGGAGATCTTCCTCTAGAGCTTCCAGATGGCTTCATACTTTTTCTTAGAGATGTTCTTTATGTACCTTCTTTGCAAAGAAACCTGATTAGTGTATCAAAGTTGGACCATGATGGTTATGATTGCCATTTTGGAAATGACAAATGTCAGATATTGTTTAATAATAAATGTGTTGGTCTTGCCTTCCGACAAGACGAGCTTTATTTGTTATCACTTCGTGAAAATGTGAATTCCGTATGTGATGTGAATGAAAATGTATCCTCATCGAACAATGGAAACAGAAAACGAAAGAGAGCTCACGATGCGTTGTCGAAATTATGACACTGTCGTTTAGGCCATATTTCGAGGGGGAGAATAGAAAGATTAGTTAAGAATAATATTCTTCCTCCATTAGAGCTCTCAGATTTAGAACAATGTAGAGATTGCATAAAAGGAAAGTATGTAAAGAAAATTAAGAAAGATGCCAAACGAAGCGCAGGAATTCTACAGATTATTCACACAGACATATGTGGTCCTTTTCCTGTGAAAAGTGTGGATGGTTATGATTCATTCATAACATTCACGCATTTATTACTCTCGCTTTGGCTATATTTATCCAATTAAAGAAAGAACAGAAGCGCTGGATAAATTCAAAATATTTAAAGCAGAAGTTGAAAATCAGCATGATTTAAAGATTAAGATAGTCAGGTCTGACCGTGGAGGAGAGTACTACGGTTTCAAGCATACCCCATATGGACAAGTTCTGGACCTTTTGCAAGGTTCTTACAGAGAATGGTATAGTCGCCAAAGATTCAAACCGGCGAACCTCAAAGAGAATGAAGTAGGTGAAAGGCGTCACCGCACTCTGATGGATATGGTGCGTGTAGTATGATAAGTTACTCCACTTTACCGATGAGTCTGTGGATGGAGGCGTTAAAACCGCTATTCATATTCTCAATAGAGTACCAAGTAAGTCGGTGCCCAAAACATCGTATGAGTTGTGGATGTGAAGAGTACCCTCACTTAACCACTTGCGTGTGTGGGGGAGCCCTGCTGAGGCTAAAGTTTTAACCCAAACATTGGGAAGCTAGATCCCAAAATGTTGAGTTGCCATTTCATTGGCTACCCGTAAAAGTCAAAAGGTTTTTGTTTCTCTTGTCCTAACAGGACATACAAAGTTTGTGGAAACGAGACACACCGCCTTCCTAGAGGATGAAATGATTAGGGGAGCATGGTAGCTCGAGAAATTGACCTTGAAGAGAAGCGGGTGTATGCACCCACTCCGATCATTCATAAGTCATTTTTCTCACTACTCATTGTTCTTTGCACTAACAAGACAAGACAACGTGGTACCAAAGACTGTTGTTATCCCTTTGTGGCAACAATGAATGATGATGAGGAACTCAGTACCTCAGATCCTATAGAACCTATTGCCACACATGAGGGGGAGCAACAACAGCCTCAAACAAAAAATGTGCCAAATGAGGAGGCCCCTAGAAGGTCTCAAAGAGTTAGAAAATCAGCTATTCCTGCTGATTATGAAGTGTACAACACTGAAGAATTTCAAATAAAGGATGATCCCACCTCATTTGAAGAAGCCATGAAAAGTGATCATTCATCAAAGTGGCTTGAGGCCATGGAAGATGAGATGAGATCAATGAATGCAAATAAAGTTTGGGATTTGGAGATAATTCCTAAAGGAGCCAAAATAGTAGGCTGTAAATGGGTCTACAAAACAAAACTTGACTCTCAAGGGAATATAGAGAGATATAAAGCCCGACTTGTGACAAAAGGCTTTACACAAAGAGAAGGGATTGATTACAATGAGACCTTTTCTCCAGTCTCATGTAAGGAATTCTTCAGAATCATAATGGCATTAGTGGCACATTACGATTTGGAATTACATCAGATGGATGTAAAGACGGTATTTCTCAACGGAGACTTAGAGGAAAATGTTTACATGGCACAACCGAAAGGTTTTGTCATGGAAGGAAAAGAACGTTTGGGATGCCGCCTAAAGAAATCCATTTATGGATTAAAACAAGCTTCAAGACAGTGGTACTTGAAGTTTGATCAGACAATAAAGAATTTTGGGTTTAAAGATAATGTTGAGGACAATTGTGTCTACGCAAAGTTTAAGAATGGGAAGTTTATCTTCCTTGTCCTGTATGTGGATGATATCTTACTTGCTAGTAGTGATGTCAGTCTACTACTGGAAACAAAGAAGTTTTTGTCCTCAAAATTTGATATGAAAGATCTTGGTGAAGCTTCGTTCGTTCTAGGGATCGAGATTCACCGAGATAGAAGTAAAGGGGTATTAGAACTGTCACAAAAGGCATACATAGAAAAAGTCTTAAAGAAATTCAGTATGCACAAATGTAGTCCCTCACCTGCTCCTATAGTCAAGGGCGACAGATATGGGGATTTTCAATGCCCCAGGAACCAATATGAGATCGATCAAATGAAAGTGGTTCCATATGCTTCAGCTGTCGGAAGCTTGCAATATGCTCAAGTGTGTACGCGCCCTGACTTGGCATTTGTTACCGGGTTACTTGGCAGATTCCAGAGCAATCCTGGAATAGAACACTGGAAATTGGTAAAGAAAGTCTTGCATTATTTGCAAGGAACGAAAGGCCTCATGATGACGTATAGAAGATCTGATTCACTCCATATAGTGGGATATTCAGATTCTGATTATGCGGGAGATAATAGAAAATCCACGTCTGGATATGTGTTTACTCTCGTAGGGGGAGCTATTTCATGGAAAAGCTCAAAGCAAACCGTCACTACATCGTCCACAATGTATGTCGAGTTTGTAGCGTGTTATGAGGCAACGGGGCAGGTAAACTGGCTAAAGAAGTTCATACCCGGTTTAAAGGTGGTTGACGACATCAATAGACCACTGAAGTTATACTGCGATAATAATCCAGTAGTACAGTATGCTCACAACAATAGGTCAAGTGGTGCTGCCAAACACATTGACATAAAGTATTATGTTGTGAAGGATAAAGTCCGGGATCAAATGATAAGTCTTGAGCATATAAGTACCGAAAAGATGCTCGCGGATCCGCTTACAAAAGGCTTACCACCCAACGTGTTCAGGAGAACATGTAGCCGCATGGGTTTAAGAGAAAGTCTATGATTCCTGGACTATAAAGGGCCCAAAAGTTAAAGTAACTATTTCAGATCGAGACGCGTGCATTGTAATGTTAAATCTATCGGCGATTGACCGTTACGATGAGACATGCTCTATGCATCATCTGTGAAGAAATGAGTAAGGATAAAAGGATTGAAGTTTAAAGTTTAAAGATAAAAGTAATAGTGAGATCAAAGGGAGAATGTTAGATTGATCTCCTAACCAATAAGCCCAACGGCCTATTGGGCCTTGGTCACGCGCCATACTGATCGGGGCGCCCAACCCCTATGGTTGGTGGGCCCCGTCGCATCAAGCGCTATATAAAAGAGGTGGGGGCCGGTGGCTCAAAGCACGAGGTTCGCCGTGAGCCGCAAACCCCACCGACAAACCCTAATCCGATCGTGAGGGGCGCAGCCAGGTGACGGAAGCGCCACCAGCCGCGCCGCCACGCTACACCGACGACCGCTACATCGACGTCTTCCCCAACCATCGCTGCCAGTGAGCGAGACTTCACCGACGCAAAGCTGATGGAGGCCTCTCGGATCCACTCCTCTGGGATCTCAGGTTCGACACCTTCTCCTTCCTCTAGATAGCATTCTAGGTCTACATCGTTGCCGTTGTCTACTGCTCTTGATGTCTACCATCTAGACCGACTGCTAGATGATTCAAGGGTTTTAACAATATTATGATTACAAGATTGGGGCAGGGCCCCGGCGGCGTGACCAACAGTTTTTTTTTTGGCTGAAAATCGGCATCACTGCAGGGTTATGAAAGAATGCCTACTTTCACATCAGTTAGCCTTAGTTGTGAAGCACATATGTTTGTCATATTATGCTAGAACAAGTAAAATTAAAAGATTACTGGAAAATCTTATGCAGTGCATATGAATATGCAGGATTATCCTAATACAGAGAAATAAAAAAAACCTGAGTGAAGAACAAATGAAAGTAAGCAGAACAGAAAATGCATATATATATGCACTCTGCAAGATAGCAAAATACAATGGCAACATGTTAGACAATCGAGATGAATCTCAATATGATTAATTCTCATACAAACTAACTTGAAAATTTCCTTTTCTGGCTCTGTTTATTTTTGGTAACATTACAATCAAACTCAAGAATCTGGCAGCTATATATGTATTTGTGATATGGAGGCAGGTGAGATTCCCAAACTACGATGTCAAATTTGCTATGAGGTTTAACACTCCCAGTCCCGTCAAGAATATCATGTAAAGTTATTTTGGGAGCTTTTTCATTCACAAGTGCTATGCGGTCATGGTTGTGAACTACACAATATTGAGTAGAATCAGACACTCTCTGTAGAAGAATATGATCATCATTCATCATCCCATGCTCGCTTAGCCTTTTTCTGAATCCAGGTTCATTTTGCCGCCTGTTGTTCTTGAAGCATTCGAGAATCTTGTTCCAGTTCTGCACATTAACACTAGATTTTAAACCCATAGCTGTTTTATGTAAAAATATGAAAAGTCCAGCAAATGCCTTATATATGTCTTGGTCAAAGCACTCATCAAATATTTCCATTGCTATGGATGCCAACCTCGGATGCTCTTCTGGATATGCACTTCCGAATACAAGTGCCTTAAAGAAGTACCAGTATGCTTCTCGAGACAAAAACTTCAAGTTGATAGCCTGTGTTGTTCCAATGTTTATAATATTCTCTGACTGACTTGTTATTATAACTTTACTGCCTCTTGGGATGCTACTTTGAGAAGCCGAGTGTAACTTTCTGCAGGCAACCTCATCAATAGTCCCAATAATTTCAATGATAACTAATTCTTTTTCTTCATTTGACTCACCATGTTCATGTTTGGTTCTACTGCCATCCCTGATTTTCAGCTCATTTTCTCCACTGAATTCACTACTGCTTAAGAAGATGACATGAGAAAAGTGATCACGCACCCTTTCATCACGGCAGACATGCTCAACAAGTGTAGTCTTACCAACTTTTGCTGGACCAACAATTGGTAGGATGCCGAAATGGCAATGAGCTGGAGCATCTTCGTACAGTAAGAAGTTGATGATCCGTTCCATTTCCATTTGGCGACCAAACATGCACTTTTCCATAAAAAGATATGTGCTGTATGGCTGGCGAAACATAGGAGGGTAGTTCCTAAGGAAAATTAGAAGCTCATTCATACCAGCAATGGTGTTCTCTAGACTTTCAAGCATTTCTTCTAAGTTTCCTGTGCCATATTTGCTACCAGTCGAGAAACAAACTCGTTTAGCAGGACGCAATTTAGATAGGGATAAGGAGCAACTCACGGCCTGTTCTTTTATGTGCTCTTCTTCAGGGACATGTTGTATGAAGTTGTCGAGCATGTAGTAGCCTTTGTACATCACTCTTCTCACGATATTGAGTTGCTGAAGCATTGCTAGGTTTGTGAGGCACCTCCCATCTGCCTCCTCTACCATGAGATGAACCCGCAGCAACATCCATTGCAATCTTTGTATGGTGTCCTTCTTGTATGGTATTGGCTTCAAGTACCTATCAATCAAGAAGGAGATGGATCTACTGGTGAGTTCACTAATGAACCCAGAGATGATTGTATTCATTTTGGCAAACTATATGGTTGCAAGATGGTACAGTGGATCCACGAGAGATTATGGGATTTATAGACAGTATAGTATTTGCTAAGACAACCTTTTGTGGTCTAGGTGGCTTCCGCACATTAATTTGATGCCACCGGTCAATGGAATCATGTGTGATGCAAAATATTTCATAGGGCCAAAGTGTCATACATAACAAGCTGGAGGATGACTAACGGTGAAGAAACTTCCAAAAATAAGTGTGGGAAGAAACTTTCAAAGATCACTCAAGTCTGGTCCTTTCTATTCAACAATGGTACGGTGGCCGTGTTGTGACAAGCCAGTGGAATTGTGCTTTGTTTGCATTGTATGCTACGTGTTTCCTCTAGCACCCCATCACCTTCAGGACCGAGAGAAATTCCAAAAAATATATGCCATGCCTTCTCTTTATGCCTCAACGAAAATAGTAGGGCAGTTTGTTTTTTAGATGTCGTATAGATGGTGACTAAGGAAAGACTCCATTGTCCAAAGTTGTAACTTTCTCAGCTTGTATTTATTGATTGAAGATGATGGAGAGGAAAAGCCCTGAAGCTGAAGGACAAACTGAAGGTGAACGCGTATTCCATGCTAGCAAAAAATAATTTACCGCATTCAACCAAGACACTATGCGATTAGGAGATCATAGATCGTTACCACTTGATGTGCAGCGCAGCAGAAGAAGATTTGGAGCAACCTGATCGAACGTCATGCACCTTGACATACTGGAAGTAAGCGTACATGGTAAAATTTTAGGGTGTCCAAGTCATGATAACTTAGGGCCAGGGGGTTAAATTCAGAGCTCGGCGTTGTGAATTGTGGCACCGAGCACTGGCCACATCAGCGCCACATCGCCAGCCACGCCAACCCTGGCCTCCAATCTCGGTGCCGGCACTGTAGGTCACGGCGCCAAGCTCAGAATTCAAAGAAGGGCTTTTGATGCCTAGGGGTATAAATGTGAAATTTTGATGGAAAAAAGACTAAATTGAAAAAAAATTCTGCTGGGTAGCTTCGTGACGAATTTGTCCAAAGTTGATTCTCCGAAAAGTCTCAGACTCCCAGTCGAGATCCTCTGTGAAAACCGTTTTTGACCAACCCAATACATCATTTCTGCTGTAGGTGACCTGCAGGGCAGCCTTGCAGACGAGTTACATAGATGGTGATGGTTACTAAGGTTGAGAAGTCAAAGATGTACCTTTCTGAGCTGGCAGGATTGTGACTTGCACTAGTAGAGAACAGACCTTTGATCCTCGGCTAAAATGGGCTCTAGTCCCGGAATTTTTTGCGCCCGGGACTAGAGATACCTTTAGTCCCGGTTGGTGGCTCCAACCGGGACTAAAGGTCCCTGCCCCAACGGCTACTGCGCCAGACAGAGGTGGCAGGGACCTTTAGTCCCGGTTGGAGCCACCAACCGGGACTAAAGGTATACTTTTACTCCCGGTTGGTGGCTCCAACCGGGAGTAAAGGTCTACTCCCGGGCCGTGGCTGCGCCCGGGGTTGGAAAGTTACCTTTAGTCCCGGTTGGATCCACCAACCGGGACTAAATGTTCTCCCTTTATAAATCGGCCGTCTCCTCCTTCCTCCCCGAGCCCGAGCTCAGCACATTTTGAAGCTCACTGCAGTAGTGTTCTTGCTTCCTCCCTTCCTCCATTGTTCCTCCATCCATTATTCGATTCCTCCATCGATTTCTTCGATTCCTCCGTCGATTCTTCAGTTGTAAAGGTTACCAATCTCATACTCTCATTTTTCACCATTGTCTTATCTCATTTTGTTCACTATATATATATATGGTTCTTTATTTTGGTTTTTTTTCATTTGTAAGCAATTTGAGCTCAAAATCACTTCAAGCTTGCATATTTACATGAAATAAGGTTAAAGTAGCTAGTTGAACTTGCGGACCGTGTTCATCTCGGCGAGCACGTTCTCTGCCGAGCGGTAACGGACGTCAAGGAGGAGCTTTGATTCTACGAGGGAGAGCGGCAATGGTCGTGGAAGACCGTGTTCCCTTCCTCGTAGAATTGGAGCTCTTCCGTGGTCAAGTACGGTGCCGTCCTGTGGAGAAATGCTCGCCGAGATGATCACGTAAGCAAGGTCAACTAGTACGGATGGTTATTTATTCACATGTCCTGATATCGTCGCAGTAGTCTGTCAATCACCGTACCCAAACGTAGTATATATATAAATATAAACTTAGAAAATAGTTAGAAAATTATAGAAAATCCATACTAGTTGAACTTGCGGACCGTGTTCATCTCGGCGAAAGCACGCTTCTCTGCCGAGCGGTAACGGACGTCAAGGAGGAGCTTTGATTCTCGAGGAGAGCGGCAGCGGTCGTGGAAGACCGTGTTCCTTCCTCGTAGAATTGGAGCTCTTCCGTGGCCAAAATACGGTGCCGTCCGGTGGAGAAATGCTCGCCGAGATGATCATGTAAGCAAGGTCAACTAGTATGGATGGTTATTTATTCACACGTCCCGATATCGTCGTAGTAGTCTACATTATGTGTACATTCCCATTCTTACATTAATTTGCGAAAATATCATATGAATTACTTACTCGCTTGCATGATAAAAAGATTTAGAACACAATGACCATTAAAAATATCATTGTTTAGAGATCTAGATAATTTTATAGTTTGTTAATTTTATTTGTTTATAAAAGAAGAAATTTATAGTGTATTAAAAATGAGTATAGAGAGTAGATGGCAATCGCTTCCGGGTCCTCGGCCTCTCATGGGTTTCCAAAGCGACTTAGGCGGGCCTTCCTCTCATTCCATGCGGCAAGTGTCGTGATGAGATGAAGATTGTGATGGAGTACCGAGTGAAGAAGGAGGGTCCCAACAAGGATCGTATCTTCTACAAGTGTCCGGATCGCAATGTGAGTTATTTTATCGTATTTAATGATTATGGTTAGTTTATACCTATTTTCATGATGGTTGTGATTAAAGTTCTAATTTTTGTTTTAATTTCAGTGGGATGGCGGTGGACGATGTTCAGTGCTTCTCTTTGGGAGGAAGAGTATGTTGAACTCGTGCAAAAATATCTTGCACAACAAAGTGATACTCTGGCTAATGAGGCGAAGGATCCACCAAAGAAGCCCAAAGATGTTGCACAATCGGGGATCTGTCTGCTTTTAGTTGAGATTGGTCATGAAATCCTTGTGCTCCTGAAATGTATTTTAGCTTTAGTTCTTTTAGTGGTAGTTGGGATTGTCTACATTGTAGCGATGCTTTCATAAATTTGTATCTTTTGTGGTGGCACGCATGTTGTATAAATAATTAATTATGATCTAGGTTTTAATATGATATTTATGTCATGTAATGCGATGAGCCGTCATTGGATGTATAATGCTGATCGCCGCTCACAAGAGTTCATTGACGGCGTGCATTCTTTATTACGTCGGCAAATGAGACAAAACAAACGCGACGGTTTCATGTGCTTTGCCCATGTGCCATATGTAAGAATACGGTGGAATATCCTTGCTCAAGGACTCTTCATTCACACTTGTTCAAGTCGGGTTTCATGCCAAACTATATTTGTTGGACAAAGCACGGAGAAACCGGTGTTGTAATGGAAGAAGATGAAGAAGAACAATGGGACGACAATGATATTATTCCCGATGGTGCGTGCTTCAATGATACTTTGCAATGGGAGAAGTCAAGAAGAGGTAGTCGCAGAAGATGAGCTGGTGATGATCTTTGTCGGTCATTCGTGATGCACAAAGAGAATGTGAAAGTGAAAAGGAGAAGATCAAGTTCGAAAGCGGATGCTAGAAGATCACAAGAAATTGTTGTACCCAACTTGTGATGCGAGGCGTAAAAAGTTGGGAACCACACTAGAATTGCTGCAATGGAAGGCAAAGAATGGTGTATCCGACAAGGGATTTGGAGAGTTACTAAAAATCCAAAAGAAGATGCTTCCAAGTACAATGAATTGCCCGCCACTACCTACTGAAAGCAAAACAAGTTGTCTCATCCTATGGGGCTAGAAATAGAGAAGATACATGCATGTCCTAATGACTCGCATCCTATACCGTGGCAAAAGAGTACGAGAAATTGGATGCATGCCCGGTATGCCATGCGTCATGATATAAGATCAAAGTAGATGACCCTCAGGTGATGTTGAGGGCGAACGTCCACGTAAGAAAATCCTCGCCAAGGTTATGTGGTATGCTCCTATAATACCACGCTTGAAACGTCTGTTCGTAAACAAAGAACATGCAAAATTGTTACGATGGCACAAAGAAGACCGTAAGGTAGACAATATGTTGAGACACCTCACTGATGGGTCCCGGTGGAGAGCAATCGACGAGAATTCCCGGAGTTTGCAAATGACGCAAGAAACTTAAGGTTTGCTTTAAGTACAGATGGTATCAATCCTTTTGGAGAGCGAATGCGAGTAGTCATAGCACTTGGCCTGTTACTCTAAGTATCTACAACATTCCTCCTTGGTTATGCATGAAGCGGAAGTTCATTATGATGCTCGTGTGCTCATCCAAGGCCCAAGCAACCTGGCAATGACATCGATGTGTACACGAGACCACTTATTGATGAACTTCTCATTTTGTGGAATAAAGAAGGTGTACGTGTGTGGGATGAGTACAAACAGAACACTTTGATCTGCGAGAGCATTGTTGTTCGTAATAATCAATGATTGGCCTGCTCTAAGTAATCTTTCGTGACAGTCAAACAAGGGATATAATGCATGCACACACTTTGCTTGGTGATATTAGAGGTGTATTCTTGAAAAAATGTCGAAAGGTCGTGTACCTTGGCCATCGTCGATTTCTTCCTGCAAATCACCCCGTAAGAAAGAAAGGTAAGCATTTTAAAGGAAATTGTACCACCACGACCAAGCCTCGCAAACCGAACCGGTGAGGATGTACTCGATATGGTCAATGATGTGAAAGTCGTCTTTGGAAAAGGACATGGAAGCCAACCTATTCCGAAAGACGCTACCGGTCACGCACCCATGTGGAAGAAAAAGTCCATATTT